TTTTATTTTTCTAAAATAAAATAAAAAAGAAAGACTTTTTTTTTATTACCAACTTGAACCACAAATAATGACTTTAACAGTCAAACGGTACATTTGTCATTTTTTTGAGCAGTGATGACAGAATTTTAAGGGGACCAAACATTTAATTAAGGCATATTTGACGTATTTGATTTCACTGCACAGAACTGTTAAATAAATAGTGCATATAGAGGTGAACACACACGTCAGCACACTGTGGTTTTTTATTGACCTGTGATGTTTCTCCTGTTGCTCAGTTCACTTCATGGCTCACACACATGAACAAAATCAGACTGATCATTAATTAAAGCAACTGTTCATGATGTTCAGAGAACGGCTCGTCCACCTCCTTTATTCATCTAAACAAAACTTTATTAACAACATTTCAAATGTCCATAAAGTTTTAGCTCATTAACGGTGTGATGGTGCACTGCAGTCCTGCTCTACCACAAAAGGATCACGTGTGTCATTCTGAACATAACGTCCTCACGCTACCGTCTATTTCTGACGTGCTTATGGAGCCTGTGATTGGCTTCAAATCAAAGTGACACCAGGACACTGCTGCTGATCACTAAGGTTAGTTACTGGGTGTAAAAATTCAATACAGTATTGATTAACACTTACAGGGTTGTGCGATATATCCAGGGATACATTTAAATCAAGGAGAGCAAGGTCAGGTTGTGTGCTACCGCTTGCATGCTAATTTGCAGTTTTCCTTTTGTTTCCACTTTGTGTGCTTCTGATTGTTGCAGGAAAGATGATAAATGAGAAAAATAAATAAAAATACATTTGGACTGATGCTGTGGAGACTAAAGGACGGCTACACTCAGATGTGTTTGACACAAAGGAAAAGGAGAGATTTTCTGTTGCGTTCTCTGACTTTTGCTGACAAAAGAGGGCAGTATGATGACATTGACAAAGTAAGCAAACTTTTACTGTCACGTACACTGTGTGTGTGTGTGTGTGTGTGTGTGTGTGTGTGTGTGTGTGTGTGTGTGTGTGTGTGTGAGTGAGTCAGTGAGAGAGTGAATGAGAGTGTGAGACAGAGATCGTGAGTAAAAGGTTTTCTCAATGTGTGTGTGTGTGCAATGCGCTTTTGTCAATATGCTCAGTGTATGCAATTACTCTTTCACGTGGATGCGCGTGAACAACTGCACATGCACAAATACACACGCCCCTTTTGCTTCACACACACACACACACACACACGCACGCACGCACGCACGCGCACACACACACACACACACACGCACGCACGCACACACACACACACACAGCAGTTGTAGAAACATTAAAGGCCTTCTTAAAGCAAACACGGGAGAATGTGCATGCAAGTGTGCGCAGCAGGGAGAGGTATTTTTTTAACCATCATCACATTGTAGGAAACCAGAAGCCCCGCCTCTCCCAAAAATGAACAGTGCATTTGCAAAGCTTGGTTTTCTTTGCATTATTGGATGCATTTTATACGATGTTCCCTTCATAGTAAAAGAAAGCCAGCTTACAGTTACAGTACTGCAGTTAGCAGGAGAAAAGGAGTCATGTAATTGCCTCTGAAGTGCTAGAAAGCCTTTGACCAGCACAGCCCTGGTTAGCATTCAAAAAACACTTCTCAGGGATGAAAGCCTCATTGAAAGCCAGCCTGCTAATGATAGTATACTCAAACAATCAGGGCAGAGCACACATTGGCCCCTGTCTCGCATAACGACAAACGCCAGTCCCAAACACGATGGCATCGCTGCTGTGTGTTGGAACCGTCTCCTGGTGCACGGCGCCAACTCGGCCCTGCCGCTGCCAAGCATTCTTCAAATTTCATTAGGTAATAGCTCATTCATTACTAAGGCTGGGACTGGGGCTGCAGCCGTCATTAAACCCTGATCGCACGGGATACACACACATGCATACACGAGCTGTAAACACTTTTACTATAAAACATAATTGTCACAAAGACGTGGCATGCACTGTAGGCGTGCACGTACTCACCCATACCTAGGCTCATAATTTACTCAGACCTCCGGGGCTGTCTTCACCCTGCAGCGAGCACACTTGCTGGGGGCCACCTCTGAACCTGCAGACGTGTCCAGTGGAGCCCAGGGAGCAAACAGCTGGGTCCATGGATTCCCCACGTTGCTATGAGAATGCATCTGTGCCCAGTGTGTGTTTGACTACACATGCATGACTGAAGGTAAATCCACGGTGCTTCAGTGTTCATATCAAGACCGAGACTGGATCGAACGCTGCATTTTAAAATGATAGAATTCACTTTGAAGCACAGAGTGATTCTGATGGTATCTGGACTGTGGTCAGTGCTCTTTGTGAGGTTTCCTGATAGGCCTGAGGCAGGGATCACACTTGCTACAGCTGCAGAGGCCACAGACAAGAAGTCATTCCTGTTATTATCATTTCAATTATTATACTCTGATTTGAATATGAATGCATCATAAAACACAGAGGTGGACAGTATATTTAAGAAGTTTTTAAACCACATTGTGAAGAAAAGGCTGAAAAGAGACTGCAAATAAATCCCACCAAAAAACTGTTGTTCAAAGACAACGTAGTGTGTGTGAAGCTGCTTCTGCCAGAGTCCAGATGGATTAAAGTGTATATGTGCCATCAAAAAGAAGCTTCTCTGACAGCGTGTGCACGTCAGGAACTGCAGCCGTGGCTCTCTCTGTGCTTTACAAATGATCAGTTATTATCCTTCATGTGTTGCTTTTCTTAAGGCTACTACATATTTGGTGTTATTGATGTCTTTTGGGGGGCTGCAGACTTTGTTCCTCACCTTTAAAATCTTTGTTTTATTCTAAAGCATCCAAACTCTCTAGCAACTATTTGAACAGCTGGACCTCTGCACCACACAGTTACAGTGGGTGTGGGTCCATCATTCTTATTTTGCATCTCTGACACTCAGTTTGACCACTTTTCCTTTGTCTTTGAGGGATTTGCTGTTTGGTATATTTTATGTTTGGTATATTTTATAGCACAACTCATCTTTGTTTGTAGCTATAAAATGATTTTCAACATGACCAAACTTTGCAGTAGTTTTAAGATGATTTAAAATGAAAACTATTCTTTCTTACACTCAAAAAAATGAAACGTTGACTTTAATTAAAATTATTTTGTCAACAGGTTCCACGAAATTGAATTATGTTAGTTTAAAGCAAAAATCTTTAGTTCATCTAATTAAAAAAAACTACTTAAGATTAACAAGACATATTTAAGACTAACTAAATCAAGTTATGTTGTATGAACATAGATGATATATTTTCAGGTTAGATAGTTTAGATTAGTTACTTCAACACATTTCTTATTTGTGGCAGTAAAATGTTAAATTTAAGTTAGATTAATTCAAATATTATATTTTCAGCCACCTTGTGCTTTATTAATTAGTTTTACATAAATCTATTTTGTCAACAGGTTCCACACAAATGAATTAAGTACATCCAACTTATTTTTTAAAATTTATTTTATTGCCAACACATTCAGTGAGCATTTGTGTAAACCCAGTCCAAAATAAAACACAACAGCTCATTAGGGTTAGTAATTAACAGTATGTAGACAGATGCAACATCAAGACTTTAAATTAAATGTCTGTATCTACCAGAAATAGAAGAAGAAAAAAAAAACGCATTGAAGATCACATAACACATTGATAAGATGACACTTGAGTTATGCACATGTGATGCTAGTAAGGTCTGTGAGTGTTTTTTTCTTTTAGTGTCTAAAATGGATAGCAAAGTTGCTATTTGCAATGATTGCTTAGGGTCAGTCCAGTAACACAATGCCAATGAAGTGCTTTCCTTTAACAATGCAAAGTGAAGTGTCCACCTCAACAGCCACAATTTAAAAAAAAAAAATGTAACAACAACAACAACAACAACAACAACAACAACAACAACAACAATAATAATAATAATAATAATAATAATAATAATAATAATAATAATAAATAGTCCACTGATATTAGCAATCAAAGAAAATTACATCACCATCCCAAATAAAACTTTAACAAAACATGCCAACATTATGGTCTAACAATAAAACAGCTTGTCAGCGTTCAGTTTTTTTGCAACAGCACAGCAGTAACCATTTAACACTTGCCACTGTCAACATTTATTTTACCAGTGTTTGGGCAAAAAACTTCAGATGTAAACATTTTAACATGGAAACAATTGTTCGTCTTTAAAAGTCCACAAAATATACATTCATCCTGCATTCCCAACTTGGATGATCTGATATCCTCGTGTTGATGTTGTTCCCAGACCATCATGAAAATGTTGTTCCAGGTTCAACATTGCAAGTGACCAATCACATTGTTGTGACGTTATTCTATTCCAAGCCATTCGTGCATTTATGAAATTCCAATGTTGCAAGGACAATATTAATTCTGCTTACTGTTTATTAAAGGGTTACGGTTAGGGTTAGGGTCCGTTGATCGGCGGACAGAGGCGGTTTCACGCAGCTTAAGTACAGTTTTTTGTTTTACGCTGGTTTTTCCCGAAGTCGCAAAAGTATGACGTCACAACATTCTGATTGGTCACTTGCAATGTTGATCCTGGAACAACATTTAGTATGATGATCTGGGAACAACACCAACACGGGGATATCAGATCAACCTCCTAACTTACCCTTATTTTTAGTATGTATTGCAATTACCTTTACAATGCACACAATGTAACACAAACTGAATATGAACATATTTCCACCTCATAACAATATGCCTTGAACGCTAATATACACACCACCCTTCAACATTTCTGGTGCAGTATCATCTCTCAATTAAATCCTTTAAATCTCAATACTTTTGATTGTCTCTTAGCTTTCAGTCTTGAGGTTAACTGAGATTCAGTGCATTTATCCCACCCATTAAGAGTGCACATGCAGAGGCCAGGTCTTCCAGGTCATGCAGGACACACTAGATGGTTATACCCACATCGGCTGGAGGAGTGCTGGCATCAGCTCTTTCGATGGTAAAGATAGCAAAGGTAATTTGTTCCAGCTCCCTCTGAACAGCTGTAGCTTAGACACAAAAACATAGAAAAATGGCATCCAGTTTTAAAAAAAGAAAGAAAAAGGGCCAAAGCTACCCTTTAATGACGTAAACACAATATTAGGAACATGCACCCCAGTGCGCCACTATTTCAGACTACAGATTCAACGATAAATATAAATAGTTTGGGTATACAAGAAGATTTCCCAAAACATTTAAACAGGTTCCATGCAAATTACAACAACAACAACATTACAACATGCAACAACATTAGTTATTCAAAATTTGGTTTAATACAGATAAAAACTAAACTAAAATTACCAACCAATTATTCTTTGAAGAGGATGCTTGGGTCTTCATTCAGGTAAAAAGGTAGTGCCCTGAGGACACACTCCCTCCCCTTTTCAATGGTTTCCTTCTGTAGAGAGTGGCAGAGATACAGGAAGAGAAAACAGATATACTTTAGGATGACAGAAACTCACATTATACGCAAAATGAATGACATATCCACTGCACAGATAGACATGTACACAAGACCAACTAATCATCACATGGACATGAATAGTTAACCTGTTGGGCAGGGTTTCCACCACATTATATATGTCCATAATGGAGGTAAAGACAAACTAATACATCATCTTTTTTGCATTCAAAACATAACATAAAAACATTCACTTCTGGTTTAACCTAAATTGAGGGATCAAATTTACATATGTTTAGGTAATTTAAATTTTCCAACGTTTTGAGTACCAAACTTTGTCTTGCTTAATATAAATGTAAGTGCACTGTGCAGCTACCATACACTAGCTGTTTAAATTTGAAAATGATCTTATTAGCCATAATATTTTGCTACCAACAGAATAACGCACCTGTGTGGCTGGGGCCAAAGTTTGTCTAATTTTCTTCACTGCAACGCCTCCTTTTTTCTTGAAGACTTTTATGAGCTGGTCATTGGTGTATTGGTCAAGTTGTGTAAAAAGCCTTGGAACATGTGCAGCAGTAGTAATCCTCACATATTCTGCTTCCACCTGAAAACATGTCAACAAACACAACATACTGTACTGTAAATATACATACTATATGTACACATATACAAACTAAAACTAATGTAGAAAGACCTCATTAAAGCTATAATTTTAACACAAACATTTACACAAAATGCTAATGGAGCCATTACAGCTTTTATTGTTATTTATCAAGTTCCAAAAAATATTGATCACAGCTGATCTGAAAAGAATTTCATGCCTCAGGCCCTTGAACTGCAACCTTTACCATGGTTCAGATGTGGAGAAGAAATAACAGGGGCATGGGATGGGTCACAAAAGAAAACTTAACTTATAAAACAGTTTTGTTTTTAAAAGTATAACAGTTCACATACCACATACAAGCTCAGCAATACCACATACACCACATCAGTATAGGAGGGAGCAGGTAAAGGCAGGATCTGAGATTTATAAAGTAAAACAAGAAATTCATTACTTAATTTCAAGAAGCAAATTATTGTTTGAATTACAACTAAATAAAATACTACTCAGAAGAAATGCAAGAGATTGACACTGCCATGTGCTGACTTTCTATAGAAGCAATTATCACCAGGTCTGTCGACCTCCATTGTCTGTCCACTCATATGTCTTGAATAATTTTATTAAAAAAATTAAGTGTGTACTTTCACAAACTGTAATTTATAACTACATTGATATGTATAACTCCGCTAGGAAACATGCTGTATTTACAGACCATTTTTACATAATACAGATTACTGATAGAGCAGAACAATGGTGTCACAGTGGCTTTCGCCCTTGACTTTTTTGGATTTTAAATGTCACTTTATGCTATCCTTGCTATCCTATTCGATATTTCCGACTCTCGGATTACAGAAAAGGAATCCCAAGAAAGCAAATGGAAAAATAACCCCTTGAAAGAATAACCCCATGAACCCCTGTAGCTAATCCCTTAATAAAACAAAAAACAATAAAAATGTTTCTTACACAGTCCACAAAATAAGCATGTCCAGGACCCAGTAAAACTAATGTAAAACAAGCGCACGCAAACGATATAACATGTCTTGTAAGACAAACGCAAAATATAACCATGCTGGACATATAGATACTACACAACATAGTCAAAGAAAAAAGTGGTCTTACCTCTCAAAGAAACAGCAGCTTGGCGCCAAAACAGCCTTTTTCAGTTAAATTTGAAGTCTTGCGCATGAGCAGGCACAAGCCGTGAAACCTTCTTGTTCTGCGCGGTTTCATTACAACTGTTTTTGCATTACTGCCACCTTGTGGATATACAAGGTATATCGATCCTCATTGACTTAACTTAAATGTTATGCGATCAAGTAACACATTAGTATTATGTACGTTGAATAATAGACACAATTACGTAGACTTGATTAGAAAAACATATGTTAACTTAACAAAAACATATATTTTAAGTAAAATGAAAATAAATAATTAATATACACTGAACAATCCACCTCATTCATTTTTTTGAGTGTACGTTGGCAGGTAATCTGTGCATCAGTTAACACAGGGGGTGAAACCTGAAAATGATGAGGAACCAGACTTTAATGACTAGTTTGCTTATTAGTGTTGGCTGTAGGATAAAGATTATTCAAGGATTCAAGGATTCAAGGAAGCTTTATTGTCATCCGCATCAGATGTTTACATGAAGACAAACAAAACACACAGAGCGAAAAGAAACAGAAAAACAAGTAATAAAGACGTACAAATAATTACAGTGCAACAACCTGAGCACCAGTATGGAGTATAGATCTAGAAATAGATACTTTAGATGAGCAGCATTGATAAAGAGATGGGTCAGTGTTGGTGGTTAGTGTGTTGAACTCTGACCCACAACCAAATATTACAAATGTTACATTTTCATTTTCAGTGTGTATTTCAATTCATTTTTAAAAAAATGTTCCAGAAATTCTTAAATATAATTTGACTTTCAGAGCTGGTATAGTAACTGCGGTTCAGTCTTTTTGCTCTCAGAGGTTAATGCTGATAATTAACCCACGGTTCACTCGTTAGCTCTCAAGGACTGAACCATTCTGCAGCTAGCTTGCACACATAGTGGACCATAGAAGCTAAAGAGCCCTTAGGATTTGCAGAGGAGGACATCAGCAAAGGAAACACCTACAGGAAGGACGAACGAGCGACTGCTCTCAGAGACAAACTGCTACATTTGTGTAAACATGTAACGTTACAGCAGAGCTGCCAAGAAAATAAAGCTAACGTTCTTGGGGGCAAGAATAAAATAATGTATATTTGAAGACACAGTGTGTGGTACATTGTGACCTGTGGGCGTGAGCAGCTATGAGCAGTGTGTGTGTGTGTAAATGCTTGAATAGGCCGCGTGTGATGGTGGAATCACCACAGCCTTTAAACGGATTCAGCACAGGAGACCCCCCAGCCCCCACCCCAGCACACACACACACACACTGGGCTTCCCCTGAGAGAGCCCTGAGTAATACATCATATTGCTCTTAAAATAGCTATTAACCACAGTTAGGAGAGAGATGGAGAGGAAGGGAGGGGAGAGAGGGAGGGAGGGGGAAATTAAGCAACGTTCACAGAGTCACTCATATAATAACTCACCATTAACCTAAGCACTAAAAGGCACACTGTTTCTTTCTGTTACGTGTGCCTTTAATTGATTCTCATATTCCCTGTGCATGCCAGCGCAGGAAAAACGAGCAGAACGAGGGAGAAACTTGCAGATGAGGCTCGATCCTTTCTTCATCAGTGTCTAAACTGGCTCCAGTGTTGCTGAGTGGAGAGCAGATACTCGGCCTAATCCCTCTCAAGTCTGGAGCATCTGAAAGCTATTCACAAACTTTGTGTCCCGTGTATCTCCAATTAAAACGGCCCTGCTGCCAGATAAGTATGGTAATGAGCGAATCCGAGGAAAATTAGATACGCGACACTAATCTGTGGCTGTAAAGAAGGTTAAAGGGAGAGAATTAAGATTAGGATTTAATCCGGCCGTATCGTTATCGTTGCTCGAACTGTCCCGTGCACTGCGCCGAGGTGAACGTAAGAAAGGAAAAACAAACAGCTCTGTGATGAGGTTTGTTCAAGACGCGTGACTGAAATGCCTTCCTTCAAATTAACATAAACATATGCAGATGAGCTCCTAATTAATTGCAAAACGTATTTTTGATTAAATACTCCAAACGTCATGATTCTAATCTTGACCGGGAACGGATGGGAGAAAAAAAGTTTTAATTAATTTTGCCAGTTAAACCTCATCAACACTTTGAATGGAGTGTAATTAGAACGCCACCCCGTCTTCTTATTTCTCAGCTGCAAAATCAAAAATCAGCCATTGTTATCACATTTGTAATGCAACCAGTATGTGAGATGAGGCTGTGATAAACGAGCAGGGGCCTGATATTCATAGGCAAAGTAAAATAATGCTGCTAATTGGCAGATATTCTAATATTGATTAAATTAGACGGAAAACACTCCTTTCATTAAGGCGCTACGATATAGCCTAATTCCGATCATCTTCTCTGTGTCTTTGGGATTACCAATTAAATGGGCTTTGTGGAAGTTTTTCAAACCGGCGGGCGAGAGGGGCCTCCGTGAAATTACGGCTATAGTTTGCGAGAGTGGAAAGGCAGCCGGCTTGTCTGTTTACCGAGGGCCGTGTTTGTGTGGAAAGTCGTGGTTAATGATGTATTCATCCTCTTGCCGTGGAACTCCAAGCCCAACTCAACGTGTATTGTGCTCAATTATGGGAAGAGGAAGAGCTGATAATGAAAACTAACATGAAGCCCCGGAGTGGATCCAGTTGTGTGTGTGCGTGTGTGTGTGTGTGTGGGAGAGAGACTAGCTGGAATAACTGTATCCCTTCTCTTTCATCATACAGACGCAGAAGCCACAACTCCTCACACTTTCTCAAATGAACCTTTCAAAGCCTCCAAACTTTCAGCCTCACCCTCCCCCTCCTTCTCCACCAAAGCAGCCGTCCACTTAAGGGTATAAGGAGGCTTACGTGGGGATAAAACCCTGCAAGGTGCTTGAGGTGAGATAACCAATTACCCATGATCACTTTTGACTCTTCTAATCTCCCCGCCGTATCGGCGGGATTTAGCCGCAGCAGCACCTGTGAACCTGGCCATCTCCAATCTGCCGCCGCCGGCCTTTGTTATTCTAATGTCAGCCACTTGACTCAGACTTTAGTCAAAAGGGATAAGCACCCGCTGGGTTCGGGGGGAACGGCTGACGGGAGCGACCCGATGACCTTCCAAATACACAGCGATGATCGATGAGCACGATTTGGTCACAAACACCTCACGGTCCTGCGACAACAACGCTCCGCTGCCGTTCCCGTGGAAATGGATCTCAGGAAACCACACGTTCACCAACAGCTCGTTTACAGCTCACATCCGTCCAACAGGTTCTCTTTTTCATCTTTAGCAACCATGCATGAGCAAGGCGTTTCACAGGCCTCTCCTCTCGGTGTCTAAAATGGCCTCGTTGTGTCATCATTCGCCCGGCGAACCACAGGCACCGAGCGCCGTTCCCAAACATACTGATCCAATTTGGTCGGGCTTCAAAAGGGAGCTTTCCAAGCCACGATCTCCACTGATTCATCATTTTTGTGTTCATCTTCACTTTATTTATTGGTGTCAACGTTTCACTCACGTCGCCAATCATGATGCCTGAGGTCAATGATGTCACCAGATGCACTTGATTTACAAATGTGAACAGGTCTTAGGCAACGCTGGCAAAACACGCTGACAGTTATTTACGACTTGCTGAGGATTCTTCGATTGTTGTCCTTTCAGCAGAAAAGCACAAACTTCACTGAGCTTTGCACTCAACAACAAGCCAGCCTGCTCTATGGATGGTTCCCTCCTTATAACAGCTGTAGACTCATCCATTTGTGATAACTATAGAAAGCATAAAAATGTAGCCATGTGACATCAGAACAGGCTTGTTATGCAACATCGAAGAATTTATGGTGTAGTTTTGGTGAGTAAAATTCGAGTATTTTATTAGTGTGTTATCTGGAACAGGTATCTGTGTTTGTGCAGAAAGTACGCTGCTAGTACACAGACTTTGTTGTTGTGGCGGGCGTGGTCTGCGGTGCTGTGCGGACGCCCCACCACGGTAGTATTTTTGAGTGATCTTGAGCAATACTTCTCCTGGCTTTCTAGTTTTGTCTTTGGACGTTCGCTGGCTTTTCAGTCATTTTGAGAAAAAGTGGACGAGTCTAGAGAATCATGTTTTTCAAGTTGATTTACGGGGTGTCTTTGAAGTAGCCCTCTGTAGGCTGTAGGTCAAACACTTCAGTCCACGTCTAACATGATTTTATTTCCTGTTGAGATTTGATGTGTTTTCCAAGTTTTCCTTTATTTTTTTGAGCAGTGTAGAGTACGTGTCCTACGAAAAGGGGTCTGTCTGGTAATTCGAGATAGCTCAACAGTGCGATACAACGGCATGATGAAAGACACATTAGGAGATTACAGAAGCACTAAAGTACAGTGTCTTCTGTGGAACCAGTTTGTCTTGCTATCCTGACTCCTCACCAACCTTTAAAAAATGTCAAGTGGCTCCTGCAAATGAGGGATACTTTCACTTCTCAACATCTGTCCTGCACTTTAGGGCATTCACGAGAATACCAGAGGTCTCTGGGAGGGCAGCAGGTGCAACAAAGGGCTTCACTTACTGGTGGAACTGAATTTCTATTTCCACAATCGTGCTCGGAGCTTATGGGGAGGACCCTCAGAACTGCTGTTAGAAAGGTCATTTGATCACCAGACTACAGGGTTCATAGTTGCTGTCATAAATTCTAATGGTCACATGGACGCTGCTCAATATCAACATTCACTAAGAAAATTACAAAAAATTGTACAAAACAAAGTTGTAGATTTTTAAAATGTGAGAGTGTTTACAGTAAGAACTAATCATTTAATTAAAAGTACCTATTCAAGCTCGGGTAAAGACAGAATTATCGTTAACAACCAATCAGCTACTGTGGTAAAGGAGTACAAACAAGCTAACTGGAGCTAACAACGGAAATTAGGTGTTTTGTATCCTCTACCTTACACTTTAAATCCTAAAAGCGCGTGTGCCGAGCTCAACTCTCATTTAGTCCAGTGGCCTGGAGTGACAATAAAATCACATATCACCTCTTTAAAGCAGAATGTGGATTAAGAGGTCTCACAGAGACTCGCTGCCCATTTTCCCACCACATACCCTTCCACTAGGGAAAATCTGACCCATCTAAGGATTTCCAAGACAGACAGGATAATCTGACATGCTCTAAGATGACACTGCTGCCCCACCTCACCCTTATTCCCCCCACTCCCATCTCAAGCCAGGGTGCCGAGCTAGCACAAACGAGAGACACTTTGAAAAATAAGCTGCTCATTTGGGACTGAGTGGATTCAGATGGTTGGCCAGTGCTCAAAGGCACAGAGAAAAGAGGCGGTTGG